TTGGGATTTCTGCATCTTACTCACACTTCTATGAATGGCAGTATTTTTGTACCCTTTTACATGGCAGTGATGGCACCGCCATAGTTGCTAATGACAACATTTACAGCTAGGTAGACACCACAGCGTATACTCCCTTGTCTTTTTCCTGCATAGCAATAATCACTTGCATTACTATAAAGGGTGAGAAACGAGTCCCCAGCTAAGACTACAGACAACCGCCTATCGGGTAAAATGCCACTGAGGAACAAACTTCTGTACCTATCGAGTTATCCATCAATCGACATTCTCTTTCTTTTTTTTATGGCAGAGCAACGATCAAAAATCTTAAAATTAGAGCTGCACGACCAGTAGTTATTCTACAACGCCAGGATATCCAATGGATAGGATTTGTTGCTTTGTGGCTGCGATACTGTACTGTGTTTCTTTGTCTGTATCGCGGTACTCTCACGTGCGTTTCGCATCCGGAGATTCGATTATTTTCTACCTTTATACGTAGTTTCCACCGCAGATTAAGTCATCCACACTAACCAAAGACCGTAGCCTTACTTGGAAGAAGACCAATTGCCTCATACTATGCGTGGCACCATGATTGCTAATGCAGAAAAAATACACTTTCAAAATGTAAAGAAGGAAGGTATTCATTCACCACTATGACGCACAAACAGCATAGAGACGTTGCCAGGTCATGGCGTGTCATTCGATAAATAAATGCGCATTGTTCGACAGCTGGTATGACCATTGAAAAAGTCTGACATATTAAACCGGCTTGAGACACAGGAAACAAAAAAATATACATATAAAAGCAAAAAGGCATAAAGCAAAAGACCTAATAAAAATCATGTACATTATCCTTGTGAAAAGTATCGCTGGATGGCGAAAAATTTTTGACGCAGTACTCTAATCGACTGACAATCAAGCAAAACAGACTATCGTAAGAATGTCCATTGCCGAAACCATCTGATTAAATGGCGGTGATATGGCACAACTAATACAAAACAGCACGTTGAGACCTAAGTCTACTCTTCTTGTATCTTTGGAAAAGAAAACTAGTTTCGCGCCGCGGCTTTTCGTTCTTAGTAAATGATCTTTTTTAGAATGAATGTATGTTTCCTGTTTGTTCCTGTTAATCGTGCTATATGAGACCTGAGATGAAAAGATAAAAATGCATATTTGTAACACTGTATGCAATTAAATTACACAAGTATTTATACTATGAAATTTTATAACATCTTATTAGTAATACCAATATTTAAACTGTGAGATTAAAATGCTTTGGTTAGCCATTGCAACTTACAGACAGCTGTGCAGTTTCCGTTCCAGGCGTAGAACTTCACGGCTATCGTCCTTCATAATAACAATATCTTTAGTTGTAGCATGAGCAACACATGCCATAATGCTCAAGCAGACCGTCGTATGATCATACAGCATCATAAGATCGTTTCTTTCCATGACTCTGCCAAAGGTCAACTAAGGCAACTACTCTACAGGACTGATTTGTGAAAACAGCTAACTAGGCCTTGGAAAACAACGTCATCCTTGCTTTAAGTTCTGGCATCCTTAAAACTTTTCCAATTGAAGATGGAACAATAGCCAGTTAAATTTTTACCAAGCAATGGCATAGATGAATGGCAGGCAATTTTGTGATGTCAGGCATTTCAGCAGCCAATGTATTTTAAACATGAATTGTGAGTAATATTACTTTAGATTTTTGTTCATCAGTTCAGTGCGGTACGTGTCACTTCGACCAGGAGCACGTTGTAACGGTGAATTGCTATCTCGAATACCGATCGATCAGATCTGAACGACGAAACTGTCGGCGATCATGGCAGGCGACGAGTGAATATTAGCCAAGAGATGAGACCTCCCTGAAGCATACATGCTAATGAGGAATCGAATATACTTTCTGGTACAATGGTCAACGGTATGAAACACTACAAAATAGGATATAACTTTCTGACCAAATTTTCATTAGCCATTCAATCAGTTGAATATGGAATCAGACAAGGATATGATTTTGACATGCGTATAAGAAATTCATCGTATACTTGCAATGAAAGTAAAGTGCAGAATTACTTAACGAATTACGGCATGAAAATAATTACGAAAGTCACGAAGTACGAAACTTTGTTGAAAAGCTAAACCAAATTAAGTGATCCATATGCTAATCAGGATGCAGATGCATCCACTGATTCTAGGTGAGAACACTGTGCAATCAGGTTAATTGAGTTCAGCCACGTTTTGAATTTTCTGGTTAATCGTAACAACTATGGTGTTCTAAAGAAGCTGTGTACATGTGGTAGCATACAAGGAAAGCCAGCTCCTGAAACAACTCATGAGAGCGATGTTGCTTCAGCGAACAAATTTATGCAACATGCAGCTGGCACTGAAAGTGTTGAAATTCTATGGAGTCGTCACCGGTTTAAATGATCCAAAGGAAAGAGGATCCAGGGGAGGGTGCAGTACGCTCTGAAATCTAGTTTTGACGCAGTTATGCCATATTTTACACTTTAAATTAAATTAATCGGAAAATGCATTAATCATGAAATGAGTAGATTTCTGATTCTACGGTAAACAGTACTAAAAATAACAAAAGCGATCATTATTTGATACAAGCCTGAGATTCAACCGAACTCTGGCCTCGATCATCTAACCATGCACTAAGAATACATATTCCGAGTCAAATTTTTAATGGCACAGTATTGGTATGCGTTAGAGAAATTATATTTGAATACTGTGATGTTTGAATACTGTGATGCATGATTAAATACCGCTACATTCTGATTTTCGGTATATTTGGATTTCTGTTGGTGCCCAAGCAAGTTCTCGCTCGTGCAGCTCCGTGACACGATTCTGACGTCTTGTGTAATGCAAGTGATTAAATATCTTACAGCCGCGTGGCATGCTTAAATGGCTCCTCAAAGCGCCATAGAAGAAACGGATCGTTGTATTACTGAGGTACAGTCAAATACAACGACTATCCTACGGTTATATTACTGCAATATCGCTATAAACTAAAGGATTCGCCATGTAAATCCCGCATAAGTGTTTAAAAGACGAAAAAGATCTTCACTTACACCGATGTTGCAGGGACAGATAATCATGGCATTGGAAGAAGTATTCGATTTAAATCATAAACCTCACACGCTCTAGCGATTGGTTAAAGAAGTCTTGATTATAAAAAAACGTTAAATCAACCGATATAAAAGTGAGTACAACATGTGATTCAAGCACGCGTTTAAGAAACTGCGCAAGGTATGACCAAAAACTACAGTTTCAAAGAGAAAAATAAGTGCTTATAAACGATGGGTGAGGTGAGCTATGGTTGGGAAAGAACGGAGACCATTTACTCGACTACAAATAGGTACGCAGCTAAAGAGATTAGATGACGAAGACCGATTTGCGGACCAATACCCGGTCTATCGAGGATGGATAGTGAAAAGCTTCGAAACAGCTGCAGCGGATCAGAGAAATCCGTTCCATTCGTAAAGAAACATCCGTCGGCTCGGCTAGCTAGGCTAGGATAGGCTCGACTCGAATCAACTCGACTGGTGTCATGCGCACTTAGCGATGTGACTATTATACTTAAGCGATCGACCGACCAAACACCAAAGATACGTTCGTACCAGAGTCAAGACAGAAAAAAGAAATAAAAGCTTAAGACGAGAGGAAAGAGGATCACCTAACGAGGTGCAACAGAAAGCAAAGCGTACTTTGCCCGCACAGCAAATAAGTCAGTAAGTCGAATAAGTTGCTTCGTACCTGTCTCTCGGGTCGATCCACGTCGTGGTACGCTGGCGATGGTCGACGAAGTACGGCCGACCGTCCGAATCGACCTTAATCTCCCAGCCATCTGGCAGCGGTAGTTCAGACGACGCAGAGAGCGACGACAGCGGCGGCACGGCAGCCGCATCTCCTCCACCGGGGGCGGAGGAAAGTGAGGAGAAAGCAGTGGCCACCTCATTGCTGCTGACGTTCATCATCTAGTCGTCGCACGACGGTGGCGCAGGCCAACCTGAACAAAAGCAACAAATACAAATGATGAGCATCGAAGACAAACGACGAACGACAGAGCGCGCGAATGACCACTGGTTAACCAGTAGAACCCCGCGGTTCGCGGACATACGGTCTTCCAGCGTTACGGCGAACACCTGCAGCAATAACAGCCACACGGCAACGGTGGCACAGGCAACGGCATTTACAAGATTTGTTATTTTGTTGTCGGTCGAACGGATGTCCCGGATTCACACGTTCGTTCGTTCATTCGTAGTCACCGTCACTGTCACTGTCACCCATATCGTAGTTCGTGTCAACCGGGCATAGCACATCTGCCGTACATTTCACGATGTGGTATCGT